ATTTGACAATGACAAGATGTGACAATAAAAAAATTGAGATATGACAACACACTGAATAAACTCATAAATGCACAATATTGATTAAAGTAAAGTGGATATAGACATAAATGTTATATGCTTAATAAGGTGGACACTAATTATATTTGTTAATTTTTATCAGACATATACTCTTCTGATAGGTATTGTTCATTAGACAATATATTATATCACTCAGTAGTTGTTAACTCACTGCCAAATGTCGTTGCCACCATGTCAAATGCTATTTGGAGCATATAACATCGGCACTTACACAACATCATCATATTTTTCTCCTTTTCGTATATGTTTAACCGTTGCTTCATAATTGACTCTATTCTTTCGGGGCATGGTAAGTGAAAGTTTATGTGGCACCGGTATATCAAGTTCTCTCAGATCTATGCATAATGACTATTATTCATTAACACGAAAACCCCACTCTCGACAAAGTTCGGCATAATACTCATTTGGATCAAAAAGTCTCTCACTCTTGTAATCATCATCTCACTCTTGTAATAACCATATGGGTTCATGCCTACAATTGGTATCACCTACTCGTGGTCTTAAAGTAAACATAATGTGCAATGCATGTTATATGATCCATCTTATATTATGTTTTAATAGTGGTTTTCATGGTCTGAAATAAATACATTTGTCAGCAGTGCAGTAGTTTGTAGTCACCTTTATGTTTGAGTTGATGGTCAAACAGCAACAAGATACTTATGTAGTACGTGTGACTATANATATCGAGCGTAGGCTCGCCGTGAACAATAGTATTAATTAGGGGGTCTGTGTATTTTGAGTGAACAATAGTATTAACGTCAGGGGATTTGAGTGTAATTTACTAACAAATATACTAACAAACATTGATGACAGTGGTTTCAATTAGGCGTGCACATAACTTAGGGTGTGGGATCTGTGTATATTATTAAAAATGTCAAGAGGTTTGAATGATTAAGTGACAAACCTCAAAGGGTCAGTGTATAATATAAAATTAATGTAGATTGAACCTAAAATCCAAAAGTGTAAATCCAAATTCTAAGCTCAACTAGGTTAAATCCAATCACAAGGCCAATTTAATGAAACAAACTTCTAAATTAAATTTTAATCTTTGAACGTAAAATTAATAACATAAAATAAAACTATAAAATAAAAATTGATACGACTTAAAAAACTATTTTTCAGTGGTGCAATATAACGATTTCTTACAGAAAAAACCTGTGCACATATTGATGTATATGTGTGAGTGTGAGAGAGAGACTAATTGTGTTATTAATTTTTTAGGTAATTTGATTGATGATGTGGCTTTTTTTCTTTTGGTAAATCATAATCATTGAGAAGCTTAAATGCAACTGGTGGTGATGTTCATGAGTCTAAAATAAGTGGATCACGATTGAGCTTGTACATTGTCTTAAAATATATGCCCTTTTTGTGCTCTTGATGAAGCTTGTTGTAGTTCAAAATATTTGTCTTCTAGATACATTGCGTGGTACTATGGTAAGACCAGTTTTGTAATAAAAGTTTGTATAGCGGATGAACACCCTATTTCAGGGTCACTATTTTATGTTCTCACATTAGGTTTTAAATGTGTAAACTTTGTTATGCGTCGAGGTCATTGAAATTATGAGTATATGAACTGAGTATCAGAAATCCAAGCATTGCTTTCCAGCAAAAGAATATACATACATAGCAAGAATTGCACAATTCCTAAATGTAAATCCTTTATTTGGTTTTGCAAATCCTTTACAATTCTCCCAAACAAGGTAGAAAAGGATCAAGGAGTGACCCAACTCAATTCTACCAATGAAAAAAATTTCTTCCACAAAGATAAAACAATAGGGGAATACAAGAATAGATAATTAATAGTGTTACTATAGCCACAACACATTACACATTAATCTTTATTTTTGTTCTCCACATTGGCGTCATCAAGTACTAATAGATGTTTAGACTTTAGACTATAAATAATATATTTTAAAGCTTAACATAAAATTTGACCCAATGACCAATGCATCTAAACCTTAGTAACCAAGGCTATTATATAATATTTTTATCACCCTAATGTTTGTTTAAGAAGTTTTCGAAACCCAGGCACTTCTACAGCCTGATGGAACATATCCGAAGGTAAGATTTTAAGGCCTCCATCAAATNCTTTAGACTATAAATAATATATTTTAAAGCTTAACATAAAATTTGACCCAATGACCAATGCATCTAAACCTTAGTAGCCAAGGCTATTATATAATATTTTTATCACCCTAATGTTTGTTTAAGAAGTTTTCGAAACCCAAACACTTCTACAGCCTGATGGAACATATCCGAAGGTAAGATTTTAAGACCTCCATCAATTNATTGATGTATATGTGTGACTGTGAGAGAGAGACTAATTGTGTTATTAATTTTGTAGGTAATTTGATTGATGATGTGGCTTTTTTTCTTTTGGTAAATCATAATCATTGAGAAGCTTAAATGCAACTGGTGGTGATGTTCATGAGTCTAAAATAAGTGGATCACGATTGAGCTTGTACATTGTCTTAAAATATATGCCATTTTTGTGCTCTTGATGAAGCTTGTTGTAGTTCAAAATATTTGTCTTCTAGATACATTGCGTGGTACTATGGTAAGACCAGTTTTGTAATAAAAGTTTGTATAGCGGATGAACACCCTATTTCAGGGTCACTATTTTATGTTCTCACATTAGGTTTTAAATGTGTAAACTTTGTTATGCGTCGAGGTCATTGAAATTATGAGTATATGAACTGAGTATCAGAAATCCAAGCATTGCTTTCCAGCAAAAGAATATACATACATAGCAAGAATTGCACAATTCCTAAATGTAAATCCTTTATTTGGTTTTGCAAATCCTTTACAATTCTCCCAAACAAGGTAGAAAAGGATCAAGGAGTGACCCAACTCAATTCTACCAATGAAAAAAATTTCTTCCACAAAGATAAAACAATAGGGGAATACAAGAATAGATGATTAATAGTGTTACTATAGCCACAACACATTACACATTAATCTTTATTTTTGTTCTCCACATTGGCGTCATCAAGTACTAATAGATGTTTAGACTTTAGACTATAAATAATATATTTTAAAGCTTAACATAAAATTTGACCCAATGACCAATGCATCTAAACCTTAGTAGCCAAGGCTATTATATAATATTTTTATCACCCTAATGTTTGTTTAAGAAGTTTTCGAAACCCAAACACTTCTACAGCCTGATGGAACATATCCGAAGGTAAGATTTTAAGGCCTCCATCAATTTTTTTTGCTCTGTTATCGATCTTTCCTTCTTGCATCTATTCTATTTTGAACTACCTTTCAATTAACTAAAAATTGGGAAGAGTGGCAGTTACCGAGAAATGTAGGTCACCCTTGTTAACTAACAGTAGCATTGGGTGGTTGCTGAAGGTTTGCCTGAAGGTGTAACTGGGTTTCGGATGTTGGTGGGTTTTGATGGATCGCCTCAAGAAGCTTAGGCTTGGGTGGTAGTGGGTAGTGTTGGGTGGTCGTGGGTGAGGCTGGGTGGTGATGGGTGGTCGTGGGTGGTGATGGGTGTTGGTGGGTGGTGCTGCAATGGTGGTTCTTCCGGGGGGCTCAAATGGGGTTAGAGAATGGCGCTCAAATGCTGATTGAGAATGTTTGCTATGGGGTGCTGCGATGTCGCCTGAGTGAGTTAGGGCTCAAACATTTGGGCAGGGGGGAAAGAGAAAATAAGGGAAAGGAAAGAAGAGAGGAGGGAAAAATGGGTGCTAGTTTGAGTTAAAAACATTAGTAGAACTAACATTTTTTATTAAAAAGGTCAATTGCACCGACGTTTTTATATTACTTGGAATGTGCTCTCTAATCTTAAAGACGACGTTTTTTGCCTTAAAACATCAGACTAATTAACGTCTTTAACCATAAAAACATCATACCAATTGGTGCATTTAAAAATACTTGACTTTAGAAATTATTTTCAAACTAATCATTACTTGGGATGGGTCAAAAGCTCAAGCTCAAGAATTAAACTAGCTTTGATCTCTTCAGTGCCATGCCGTATAAAGGAATGAACAACCTTTTATTTTCCCTGAAAAGATCTCCTTCTAGTTCCAACTTCCCTTCGCCTTTCAGAACCGAACTTCCAAATTCAACTCCCCGGCTTTGTTCTCCGATGCTATTATGGATCGAACTCTGGAATTCGCCGGTTCCATAATCATGAAATGGAACCCAGAAACTTCAACATTTGCAAACGTCACTTCTCTCTTCTACGAGAACCGTGGTGAGGGCAATGATTTCATCAAGAACGGCAACGGTTTGCAAAGGGCCATGCACTTTTTAGCCTCTAAGAACTCCGGTTCGGAGAAGCTCGTTCGTGCCCAGAACCTGATGCAAATCGCCATGAAACGACTCCAAAAAGAGTTTTATCAGATTCTTTCGATGAACCGAGCTTATCTGGATCCTGAGTCGGTCCCGGCTCGATCATCGCATGCTTCAACTCGATCGAGCACATCCGACTACGAAGACGGTGATATTGGACCCGAAGATGATATTAAAATTGCTGGCGATTCCATCGAAGTCGAAGATGTTTCGAATATGGCCATGGTGGATTTGAGATCAATTGCTGAGTGTATGATTTCGTCTGGATATGGTAAAGAATGCGTGGAGATATACAAAATTAGAAGGAAATCGATAGTTGATGAAGGCATATACAGACTCGGAGTTGAGAAATTGAGCTCTTCACACCTACGTAAGATGGATTGGGAGGTTTTGGAGCAGAGAATCAAGAACTGGTTGAATGCTGTGAGGATTGCAATTAAAACTCTCTTCAATGGAGAGACAATTCTTTGCGATCACGTCTTTGCATCCTCGGAAACAATCAGAGAGTCAGTTTATACTTAGTAAGTAAAGAAGAAGCGTCAATCCTCTTTGGATTTCCGGAAAATGTGGCGAGAAACAGCAAGAAATCACCGGAAAGAGTATTCCGGAATCTCTAGATGTACACAGCCATTGCCAATCACTGGCCGGAGATCGAGTCCATCTTCTCCTTCGAATCAACCTTCGACATCCGATCTCAAGCACTGACATCACTCGTCAAGCTCTGTGAATCTGTACGGACATCGTTAATCGAGTTCAAATCTGCGATTCGGAAGAATTCTTCAAAATCACCGGTCGACGGAGCTGGAATTCATGCTTTAACGACTGATGTGATGCACTACCTCTGTCTTCTCGGCGATTACAACAATATACTGGCGGNATTTTTTTGCTCTGTTATCGATCTTTCCTTCTTGCATCTATTCTATTTTGAACTACCTTTCAATTAACTAAAAATTGGGAAGAGTGGCAGTTACCGAGAAATGTAGGTCACCCTTGTTAACTAACAGTAGCATTGGGTGGTTGCTGAAGGTTTGCCTGAAGGTGTAACTGGGTTTCGGATGTTGGTGGGTTTTGATGGATCGCCTCAAGAAGCTTAGGCTTGGGTGGTAGTGGGTAGTGTTGGGTGGTCGTGGGTGAGGCTGGGTGGTGATGGGTGGTCGTGGGTGGTGATGGGTGTTGGTGGGTGGTGCTGCAATGGTGGTTCTTCCGGGGGGCTCAAATGGGGTTAGAGAATGGCGCTCAAATGCTGATTGAGAATGTTTGCTATGGGGTGCTGCGATGTCGCCTGAGTGAGTTAGGGCTCAAACATTTGGGCAGGGGGGAAAGAGAAAATAAGGGAAAGGAAAGAAGAGAGGAGGGAAAAATGGGTGCTAGTTTGAGTTAAAAACATTAGTAGAACTAACATTTTTTATTAAAAAGGTCAATTGCACCGACGTTTTTATATTACTTGGAATGTGCTCTCTAATCTTAAAGACGACGTTTTTTGCCTTAAAACATCAGACTAATTAACGTCTTTAACCATAAAAACATCATACCAATTGGTGCATTTAAAAATACTTGACTTTAGAAATTATTTTCAAACTAATCATTACTTGGGATGGGTCAAAAGCTCAAGCTCAAGAATTAAACTAGCTTTGATCTCTTCAGTGCCATGCCGTATAAAGGAATGAACAACCTTTTATTTTCCCTGAAAAGATCTCCTTCTAGTTCCAACTTCCCTTCGCCTTTCAGAACCGAACTTCCAAATTCAACTCCCCGGCTTTGTTCTCCGATGCTATTATGGATCGAACTCTGGAATTCGCCGGTTCCATAATCATGAAATGGAACCCAGAAACTTCAACATTTGCAAACGTCACTTCTCTCTTCTACGAGAACCGTGGTGAGGGCAATGATTTCATCAAGAACGGCAACGGTTTGCAAAGGGCCATGCACTTTTTAGCCTCTAAGAACTCCGGTTCGGAGAAGCTCGTTCGTGCCCAGAACCTGATGCAAATCGCCATGAAACGACTCCAAAAAGAGTTTTATCAGATTCTTTCGATGAACCGAGCTTATCTGGATCCTGAGTCGGTCCCGGCTCGATCATCGCATGCTTCAACTCGATCGAGCACATCCGACTACGAAGACGGTGATATTGGACCCGAAGATGATATTAAAATTGCTGGCGATTCCATCGAAGTCGAAGATGTTTCGAATATGGCCATGGTGGATTTGAGATCAATTGCTGAGTGTATGATTTCGTCTGGATATGGTAAAGAATGCGTGGAGATATACAAAATTAGAAGGAAATCGATAGTTGATGAAGGCATATACAGACTCGGAGTTGAGAAATTGAGCTCTTCACACCTACGTAAGATGGATTGGGAGGTTTTGGAGCAGAGAATCAAGAACTGGTTGAATGCTGTGAGGATTGCAATTAAAACTCTCTTCAATGGAGAGACAATTCTTTGCGATCACGTCTTTGCATCCTCGGAAACAATCAGAGAGTCAGTTTATACTTAGTAAGTAAAGAAGAAGCGTCAATCCTCTTTGGATTTCCGGAAAATGTGGCGAGAAACAGCAAGAAATCACCGGAAAGAGTATTCCGGAATCTCTAGATGTACACAGCCATTGCCAATCACTGGCCGGAGATCGAGTCCATCTTCTCCTTCGAATCAACCTTCGACATCCGATCTCAAGCACTGACATCACTCGTCAAGCTCTGTGAATCTGTACGGACATCGTTAATCGAGTTCAAATCTGCGATTCGGAAGAATTCTTCAAAATCACCGGTCGACGGAGCTGGAATTCATGCTTTAACGACTGATGTGATGCACTACCTCTGTCTTCTCGGCGATTACAACAATATACTGGCGGATATTTTAGCCGATTTACCACTGCCTGCCAAATATTCTTCGCCGGAGTCGTACTTGGACACGTCCGATTCCGAATAATTTCCGTTACCAACGATTTTTCTCCGATTCGCGTGGCTAATACTCGTCTTACTCTGCAAACTCGATGGCAAGGCAAAGCACTACAAAGACGATTCGCTCTCATAACTCTTCTTAGCCAACAACTTAAACTACGTTGTTTTTAAAATCCGTACATCGAACATGAAGTATTTATTCGGCGACAATTGGTTAACCAAGCATGAAACAAAAGTATTCGGAACATGGAGTTGCGTTGTAGGTTCCCTCCCGGAGGATCCGACGTCTGTAACGTCGTCGGAAGAAGTGAAGGAGTGTTTTAAGAGATTTAATTTGTTATTTGATCAGGCTGTCTGTGTGCGTTGTACCTGATAGTAAGCTCCGAGATGAAATCAAAGTCTCCATAGCCAGAAAACTTGTTGGGGGTGTATCGAGAGTTCTATAGTGCGCATAGGCTTGTGATTGGAAGAGAGAGAAATTTGGCTTTTGAGGTCATATATACCCCTGAGGATATGGGGAATTACTTGTCAGATTTGTTCTTTGGGAAGGTTCTGTTGGGAGTTCATCATTTTCTATGTCAACATCACAACTGCGGGAGTAAATATTGGGTGGAACGATTATATATTATGTTATCGGTCTTCGTGTAATCATCCAATAATAAAAAAAAAAGACTAAAATAAAATTCACTTCCTATCATAGAGGTGATTATATATGATATAGTTGGGTAGTTATGAGTTTGAGCGGAATTCATTGATTGATTTGTCTGCATATTAATGGATCGTTACATCATGTGACATTATTGATGTTGTATAACGGTATAATCAGTACTTTTTTCAATTGTGGACCCGTTGTGATTTTATTTTTTTTGGTAGTATATTATTATTAGGTAGTGCACGCGTGCGTTGCACGCAAACTACTTGAACATATAATTTTTCCAAGTGACTTGAAGATCATATTTCATCTTTTCAATTGTACAAATTAAGTGAAAACCTAATATTTATTAAAAAAATGACAAAAGAACAGTACTTAATTTTGAAAACCATTATTCAAAGTTGAATTCTCAAAGTTTAGTTGTGAAGCAAAGTTTAAGAGATTATTGATTATAATAAATAAAGAGAAATATAGAACTTTCCAAATGTGATATGGATCACATGAATTTTGATAATAGTTTTCTCATTCTAAGCATATTCTATAATCATTTTTATGTGATGTAACTTATTACTTGAAGATAATTAATTATCAAATAGAGATTTAATCATATGGATAAGTATTATTTTTGCAAACGAAGGCATTTGCTTAAATGAGATTGATGACCGAAGAGAAAAAAAACTATTGCAAACTCGGGTTAAAAATGTAGATTACATCAAAGAGTATTGTTAGGGTTTTTTTTTTTTTTGAGGGTCATTTGTTAAAGAATTATTAGGTTGATCAAAAATTGGGATCATATAACAAACTGAGGTAGGACTATTGTGACAATAATGACTAAGCAAAATATTCAAACCAAAATTAAGTAAGCACTAAAATAAAGTACAAAGCATGGTTCAAAATTTCATTTCGCCAAAAGTTTAAACAAGCTTTAAAATTTTGGCCCGAGGCATTTTTTAGTTCTTCAATTTAGTGTCGTTTTTTGATTAATTTAGGATATGATGTCGAATATGTTTTTTGGTCGTCTATTATTTGGCCTCCTTAAGATAAAATTTTAGTTTTATTCCTGTACCACGTCACCCAAAAACCCCACTTTACAACCACGCACATAAACTATCTATAGCAAAACACGAGCGTATGTAAAAGTTGGAATTGGTTGAACAACATCGTCCCTTATCAAGTGCCGCAACTGTGCGTGTGTGAGAGGCAAAAGAGAGAGCGAGACTTGCACATAATAACAAACTCAAATCGAAAGGCAACAATATCAAACACAACCATTGTAACTAAACTACCTTTCTATAGAAAAAAATTGGCAAATTGGAGTTAACTCGCTGAAAGTTTTTAAAAAGTATTACATCAATCCATACGATGATTCTTTTTTTTTTTTTACAAAATCAGACACAATAAAAAGTGATGACAAATTCATTCCACAAGAATTAGCCTATATTACCTTTATCGCTAATTTGATCACTATCTTAATGAAGTTATTAGTTGAACATTAGTGTCAAACCATGTAAAATTAATTTTGGGGATGCACTACAACCAGTTTCATATCATAAGAGCAATGGTACATAAAACAATAATTCATCAACGACAATACACATAACCATATACATCATAACCATAAAGTTCTAATAAACTTGTTTATACAATTGGATTGAAGTCTGCATCAAATTTGCTATTATGAGCACAAACTAAGAGTTTTTTTGAACTATCGTAATTATAAATAGATACAACTCTATTCACAACCGTAATAATAAATCATATTGTAGGTGAGGGCAGCAAATGTAAACATGCACTCAAATTTTTTTGGCATTGTTGTTTCACTTTGTAAAATAAAAAAAATAAAAAAATGTTGCCATCATTAATAGTGATAAACTTGAAGCCAATATAAACACCATTCGGATTAAACCTTGGATTCACGTAAAATTTCATTTCAGAGAAAAGATACAATTTACCCACCCGCTTATGCAATAAATTGCATCCATAGGATGACAATACATAATTATCCATTAAAATAACCAAATTATCACTAAAATACACATAAACATCGGCATTATACATGTAAGACACAATAAATTCATAAAACTACTACCTAAACAAAGACATGCCATCGGTGTAACGATGGGGGTTGATGGCATGAGTGGTTCTTTTACTATATACATTGCAAATGAATGCAATTCAAAGGTGAATATTTGCTTCATTAATTTCCGCGAGTTGATGGAATGAGTCCATGGTTGAAGACTTGCAGTCCAACTTGACGTTTATGGTTCTAAAAAATTATGAAACTAGCAACTTGGATTCAGTGTATTGACCATTCTAGTAACACCAACTCAGTCTAAAGATTGGATCTTAGGGGTCAATCCATGGACTTCTGTATCAGTGATGAATCAAGCGAGTATATATCAAAATTTGCATTGAAATTATCTCTAAGCAAAATTGTCGCTACCAGTGGGTTCTCTATTAATAATAGAGTGCAAGCACCATTTCTCAGTCAACAAGAAAAAACATTGTGAATAAATTACTTAATTCAACTACATCAAAGGGTGCGATTGTTGGGGATTAGTAAGATAATCACAAATATGCTTCTACTCTGAATTAGCTATATCACGGAAACAAATACATGAATTCACACCTCTCCAAGACAAAGTTTAAATTCTTACTTGCAAAAGATTAAGTCATTCTGAATTAAAATAAACCCAATATAGGTATCACTTGCAATGAATTTCCATTTTAAATTACTGATTTGCATGACAAAGGGTTGAAAGATGTATAGAACTCTGCCTTAGTTGCAATTTGATATTGTTTACACCCAAAATAGTAAAATTTAAGGGTGACATGTAGAAACGATCCGACAGTCATGAAAGAGTCTGTGAGAGTCTACATTTGATAAGGTGGTTAAGGAAGTAGGACTCTAAAAATCTCGACAAACAAACATGATATCATGAATTGTTAGTTAGAGACGGTTTGATGCATGTCTGTACATCTCGAGGAAAGAGGTCATTCTCACAATCATGGCCGAAAAAAGATGACTTCAACAGTTGAGGGTCATCTCCTATAAATAACAAAAGCAAGACTATAGAAGACAGATCATCGATCAAACAAAACAACTCTACACAGACCCAACATCTTTTCTACTTATTTCACTTACCAACAAATTTACCTTAACATGTAATCCATCACTCCGGTAATTTTTATCATTCTTCGATTAATGTTAAGTATAGTAATCTTTTCATTCTTCAAGTTCAGTTTCTCTGCTACTTTACCATCCAATTGTTTTTCTNATATCAAAATTTGCATTGAAATTATCTCTAAGCAAAATTGTCGCTACCAGTGGGTTCTCTATTAATAATAGAGTGCAAGCACCATTTCTCAGTCAACAAGAAAAAACATTGTGAATAAATTACTTAATTCAACTACATCAAAGGGTGCGATTGTTGGGGATTAGTAAGATAATCACAAATATGCTTCTACTCTGAATTAGCTATATCACGGAAACAAATACATGAATTCACACCTCTCCAAGACAAAGTTTAAATTCTTACTTGCAAAAGATTAAGTCATTCTGAATTAAAATAAACCCAATATAGGTATCACTTGCAATGAATTTCCATTTTAAATTACTGATTTGTATGACAAAGGGTTGAAAGATGTATAGAACTCTGCCTTAGTTGCAATTTGATATTGTTTACACCCAAAATAGTGAAATTTAAGGGTGACATGTAGAAATGATCCGACAGTCATGAAAGAGTCTGTGAGAGTCTACATTTGATAAGGTGGTTAAGGAAGTAGGACTCTAAAAATCTCGATAAACAAACATGATATCATGAATTGTTAGTTAGAGACGGTTCGATGCATGTCTGTACATCTCGAGGAAAGAGGTCATTCTTACAATCATGGCCGAAAAAAGATGACTTCAACAGTTGAGGGTCATCTCCTATAAATAACAAA